GAGGACCCGGAGCCAGAGCTGCAGGCTCAGAGGGGGCCCGCGGGGCGGGGACCAGGCTGGGACCCGGTAGGCGACCTCGGAGGAGCAGTCAGGCAGTCGCCCTTGAAGGAGGGAGCCTGGGCCCCGAGCCCTCCTGGCATCAGCCATCAGCGTGGGCACAGGACGCAGGAGGCTGGAGCCCTGGTCCAAGCCCCTCTTGCTTCCTGCGTGTCCTCACCGAGTGGCTTCTCTGTGCGCCCATTTCCTGGCTCTAACGGGGGCCTCCCGACAGCTCGTCCCGAGGATTAACTGCTGCGGTAGTGGCTGGTGCGGGTTCCTCGTTTTGGGGTGCGAGCAAAGGGCATGGCCCTGGCTATGTCGCTTGGAAACCTCTGCCTGCCTCAGTTTCTGCATCTGTAAGATGGGGCAGCAATGGCAGCTGCCTCTGTGTGTGGGGGCGGGGGCGGTGAGGGTTGAGTTGGCCATTCCTGGAAAGGCCAGCTCTCTCTGTGTCAGTGTCCCCTGGGCGTCCCCTGGGCGTCCCATCGAGGGAGGGCCCCTGTCCTCTGCTCCTGGCGTGTCGCCCTGGCCTGGGTGCACGGCCGGCTCAGCCCCACCTGGAGGCACCCCCAGCACCTCCTCTGTCCCCAAGCCCCAGTGCCCCAGGAATGGCATGCAGCCAGGGGTGGCTGTTCCCCAGGCTGATTAAGTGACCTTGGGGTGCACCTACCTGCCCAGGGGCCGTGCACGGCACCTGGGCGACAGGAAGCCCGAGCAGCGCAGGCCCTGCCGCTGCCATTCTCTGCAGAGGAGCGTTTTCCTCCCCGCGTGCAGTTAAAGAACCCGGAATTCGCGCCCGGTGGGGGGGGGCCGTTAATGATCGGCCGCGAGGAGGTCATTCATATTGGCTAAGCGGGCTTAATTGGGCTGGATGCGAAGGTTACCGTAAGCACACAGAAACGCTGTTAAGGGGTTAACCTCTGAGAGATTACATTGTATTCAGCGCTCTGTTAAAGTTTGAATTAATTTTTCCCATGGGTTTGTTCACATTCTAATTTTCAACTAAATGAGACATCTGTTTCAGAAAAGGAAAATTTGCTCTGGTTGTCATGGCAACTATCATTCTGTAAGAAAATTATTCCAATGGTTACTTTAGAACAGAAAGACAGAAATTCAGGACATAAAGCCGCCTCCCATCGCTCCGCCGGAATTCTGATCCGCCCGCCCTCCTCTCGGGCCGCGGGGTGGCCAGGCTGGGTCCCCGCGCCAGGTCACACGGGAAACCTGTGCTGCGGCCCTTGGGGCCCTCGGGGCGCCCACGCGCGGGGTGTCGGCCCACACACAGGGTGTCGGCCCACGCACGGTGTCGGCCCACGGCGGTGGTGGCGGTGAGCTGCGGGCTGCATGGGGCTGCCTGGGGCCTCGCGGCACCCCCTGCCCGTCCTTTGCAGCCCGAGCGCTCCTGGGAGTGGGACTGGGGTCACGGGATCGGTCCCACATGCCGCGCTCTCTGGGGTGGCGGGCTCACCCCGTCACCAGCCATGGCGCGCTGGGGGGTCCAGGACACCCTCACCCGAGGGGGCCACTGCTTTGTCTCCCGCGCCCACGGCAGACCCGGCTGCTCCGCGTGAGCGCAGGGCCGCGGGCCGCCCCGCCTTGGGGCCCCTCAAAGGACTGTGGTCAGCGAGGTCACCCCTGCCCCTCTGAGTGAGGCCCCCTCCTGAGGATGGCTCTCTCCAGCCAGCAGACTGTCCTGGGAAACGTCTCTTCTGGATGCTTCTGTGCACGGTTTGGCTGCCGCTCCCCCAAATTCCAATGAAAGCAGGAGCATCCCCTCTTCCCATTGACGGGCTCCCAGGCATGCAGGAGGCGTTTCCGCAGCGGTGGGGGAATCCGCTCCCCTCTCTGCACCTCCTCCGTGTCCCCTCACCCCGGCAGTGGGGCACAGGAGAGAGCAGAGCCCTCCCTGCCCTCGTGGGTGAGGTCTGGGGACACAAGCGTCACTATCCCATGTTTGCTCGGGAGGAAACCGAGGCTGGCAGAGGTGAGAGCCCAGCCCAGGGCAGCACCAGGATGCCTGACGCCAGCGCCTGTGCCCTCTGCACCCGTTACAGGGAGCAGGGCCACCTCCCGCCCTCTGGGACCTAACGCGCTGGTGCCAGCTGCCCCGCCCAGATGCTGCGGGCAAGGCCGGCTCTCCCGTGCATCTGGGGGTGTTCTCAGGGCCCCACAGCGGGGTGAGTTGCAGAGGGAGGCAGGAGCGACAGTAGGGATAGTTCCAGACCAGCTGCCTAATGGAGACCCGGTTCTTCACCCAGGCCTGCCTGGGACTTGCTGTGTGACGCTGGGAAGTGGAGTGACCTCTCTGGGCATTATGGAGGGCGGGTGAGGGGGATTCCGGCTTCGCAAGATTTGAGATCAGGTGTTTCCAAGAAGCTGGCAGGAAACTGTCACCCCTAGAGGAAGGCTCCTCGGTGCTGGGTGGGGGAAGGTGGGACGGGCAGATGCTCCCTCCACCAGGGCCGGCTTCTGGGTGTCTGCGGGGTCTCTGGCATGTTCCTGAGTGTCTCTGTCGAAAACCGCCCCGGCTGTGGCTCGCGAGAGCTAACACGTGCTTTCTCCGCACTGATGTGGCCGCGCGCCGCCTTGTAAATATTTGATGAGACTTTGGGAAAATGGAGCTGTGAGGAAGGCAGCGCCGGGCGTGAGCGGCTTCCTTTGCTGTCAGCGGTGGGGCTGGGGCTCCCGGGAGGGCCACGGTGCTTCCAGGCTGCCACGGCTTCCCTGCAGCCCTTCGCCCCCTGGGGGCTCTGCCCGTGCGGGCCCAGCGCTGCAGGTCCCCAGCTCGCGGGGTGGGGCGGGGGCGGGGGCAGCCCGAGGGCCGCGGCGCTCGCGACCGCGAAGCGCGGTGGGAAAGCGGTTTACGCTGTGAGTCTGCACACGCGGGCGTGGGTGTCTGTTAAATAGGAATGTATTTAACGGAAGCATCGAGTTCCTGCCCGATGTACTCTGATATTTCCTCTTCTTTAAAAAGGAAATGCAGTTTGCATCAGACCCTGCCCCAGGTTTTCATCCAGACTCTATGGGTGGGTCTCAGGAGGGGTCCGTGATAGTAACAGTGATATGATGATGATGGTGATGATGGTGGTGATGATGATGGTGGTGGTGATGGAGGTGTTGATGGTGGGGCTGATGGTGGGGATGGTGGAGGTGATGGTGGTGATGATGATGATGGTGGAGGTGATGGTCATGATGATGGTGATGGAGGTGATGATGGTGGGGCTGATGGTGGGGATGGTGGAGGTGATGATGGTGATGGTGGTGGTGGTGACGGGGGTGTTGATGGTGGGGGTGGTGGAGGTGAGGAGGATGGTGAGGGCAGCTGTAGAACCTGGAGCACTTACTGTGAACCAGGCATTATTTTTTGCACTTTACATGCATCAGCTGATTTAATGTTTTCAGTAGCCGCGCTGCAGCAGATAGTATTATTATCCCCACTTTACAGATGGCCAAATTAAGGCATAGAGAGAAGTTAAGTTCTTTGCTTAAGGGCACACAGGTAGTAAGAGGTGGACAATTCTAACCCAGATCTGACCCCAAGATTCCCTTGAAGGTGGGTGTACGATCCTGTGTGTGGCCATTTTTCTGCAGAGAATACCCTTGGCTTTCTGCAGATGCACAGGGCAGGCCCTTGTGGACGCCCCACCCTGTGCCAGCCCCTGCCATTCTGCAGCCCCCGCCACCTGGTCTCCTGACTTGGCGGCACTTGCTGTGGGTGGGATCCCTTGGGAGATCTCAAGCCTGGGAGCAGGCAGCCCCTCCGTGCCGGCGCCCCCACACTCTGCTCCCACAGGCCCCTGTCTCCTTCCCAGCCCCCGCCTGTGCAAGGGGCTCTCACGAGCTGCTCATGGCTGGAGCCCCCGTGCCTCCCCCCACCCGCCAGCCAAGAATCTGCCAGCCTCTTCCTCAAGGCCAAGAGCCCAGGCTGGCAGGGGCTTGGGGAGACGGTGGCCTGGTGTGTTCTGCGGCTTTCATCAAAAGCGAGTTCTCCCCGGGTCACTGGGGCTGTGTTTTGAATGAGGGGGTTGGTTTCAGCTTGGAAGTTGGGTTGCAATCCCAAGGCAACCGGCAAAGTCCTGCCCAACATCTTGTTAACAAGTTATTCATTATTTCTCCATGATTTTAGGAAGAAAAAAAAAA